AAGCTTGGATGGAGCTTAATATGTGAATTTTGCAGTGAGAATTCTATGGACCTTGCAAAACTGCAGATCTCGTTTTGTCTGCTGTTGTACATGATCTACGAAATTGTAGACAATAGGCATCGTTATGCAGACAGAGAGGATGGCGACAAGTGAGAATGTGACGGCTGAATAGGCCACGGCCTTATAAGCCCTCTCTCGAGGGTCCTCCATCACCTGAACACTAGGAATTAATTGTTAAAATAAGAACTAAATAAAATTTCAAAAAAAGCAAAACCAAACAAATTATGACAAATTGATTTTAAAATCAGAAGCAAACATGCTAATCTCAAATATGCGGATACAATAGAACACACGAATATTCATGAATGTAAAAGTAGTAAATCAGAAGCCGAGCAATGGAATGTGTGTGTGTATGTGTGATGCGATGTGGGGTAGTAAGCACGAAGAGTGGTTGCTTAGAGGGGCGTAGGGGGTGGAGGACCGGACTGCGCTTTATACGCCGCCAAGACGGTCACCGACGCGGAACGCTGCACGCACTAAGAAAGCACTAGGCGCCGAGGTCAAAAACACACCTCGCGACAACCTCGCGCATGGACTCGAGACATCGAGCTCGAGCTCGCACTCGCTTTCAGAGGCTGACTTAAAAATACTTCACTCGGAGCTTTTGGAACTCTTCCAAATAATAATAACGCTATACAAAAATTCAGCTTCTTCAGGGTGGTAGAACTCAACAAAATTGGCCTCTCACAAACGTCTACTTTCTCTTGAGTTACCAAATGTTACAATGTTACTTTGGTAAATCATGCCATTTACAATAATATAATATCCGAATATGTTCTGTTACGCCAACTTGATGATTTCCAAGTCACTTTGCGGCTTTCGCAGAATTTCAAATGTGTTACACGAATAGTATTCATCTTCTGCTTAGGTTAAATTTACGATTGGAGATATCCAAGCTGTATCAAGGACTTCACTGTAGGGGTGATAAATCAACCCTTTTGCATAACTTTGACGTACCCCACATTCTGATCGCTGGCTCTGCAGAGATGGTTTTTTTTCAATGCTTCCGTTCGAACGGACGAAAACTTAGAACACCGCCAACCTCATTCTCAAAGATTTTACATGTTTGATATCAAGATTTACTGTTTTTTCATTTCTCAGAATTTTGCATGTACGATATCGAGATTTATTGTTTATCTCAGTAAATAGTAAACTATATGTTCGCCAGTACAATTTAGTTTTTTTACGATAGTTATATAGCAATGTTGAGAAATTATTAAGCATTTCTCATACAAGAAACTATAAAACAATCATTAACTTGAACTGATTTTGTCTTTCCCCCTTTGCAATGCACTGACACACCATCACACTACGCGGCACCCATTTGCGCACTTTTGACGCAAGATTAGAAAAAAACGTTTTCGGGCATGATGTGCCCCGAGCGAAGCTCTAAAAAAATAATGAAATTTTGTAGCTTCGTACTAGCTGCACTCTTTTTTACCTACTCAAATCTTGCGCTTAGAAAAACTTGTTTGCGGGATTCTAAGATTACTAAACTTCACGGTGGCAGCATAGAATTATATGGATTATATTCGATAGAAACCCCACGCTTTGATAACATAAGTATTCCAGCTGATCGCTTCCGATGGAACCTCATACGTTGCTTCTGCTCTCTTAGAACCCCAATGCAGTTGCATATACTGCGGCTGTCTCTGCGACAAGCTACTTGACGAATTCTTCCTTGTGCATGTTTTTTCTTATTGTGTTAGTATAGCAGAAGGAGAAAAGCTGTCAGTTCTCTAAATAACTTTGCTTGATCATGCTCGTATTATTGCGGACGAAGCAGCACGTATGGGTCAGGATCGGAAAAAACAAGCTAGAGCCCATTGGTTCAATCAGTGTGCATTTGAACAAGCAATTTTCAACCCATGGCTTGTTTCAACGTACCTTCCTGACATCTTAATAATTTCATCCCATGCTTTTAAAATAATGTCGAAGTTATATGGAAACAGTCTTAGTGTTGCCTGCGACAGTCGCAAATGAGGAAATGGAACGAGGATCCAGAGAGAATGCGGCATGAGGGAAAGACGTAAAGGACCGGATGAATAAAGGGGTTAAGATAACATAATGTCGAACCTTTCCTTAAGCACCAAAGTAAGTGATATAATTGAGCGAGATGCGCTTAATTAATGATTTGTGAGCCAACAGCCTTTTTAATGTCATTATCGTGAGTAATCAAGTATACAACAAGTGGGAGAAAAAGTACGATGTTAGTTCTCTCCTCCAAGTTTAAACCCAAATCTGTACATCATAAAAGTTACAAATCAAATTATTCTTTCTTGCAGCAGCAAACTTCCATTAAGAGATGATTATGTAGGCTAACCTACGATAGTGACAACTGGGATACGCAATACGAGAGAAGCCTATCACCTTTACAGGATAGTACCCATGTGAAACTGGAGCATTGAAAAAGTACTAGAATTTTGGTAAGTTGTTTGCGAACTCATGCGCTCATTTGTAATTACGGTACTTCGGAGAAACAATCAATTCCAATATAAGCATTAAATCTGAACTTAAAACAGCAAACATAAGCTTTCAGAAAAATTCTTCACATTTTACCGATGTGCTGATTGCACCCATTTTTGCAGTATTTTTAAGGTATCACGATCAAGCGTGAGTGAAGAAATCATCAGTGAGAGGTATGCGCGGGATCGTAAATCTGTGACAAAGAGGAGGGTTTTAGAAAAAGCGTTTGTATTTTACAAGTGTTATTTGTCTGATAATTGAAAATAAAACCTGTGGATGAAAGCTCTATTTTTTCATTCTTTTTCGACGCAGTTCCTCATCGCCAAACAAAAAACGCATGAATTGTTTTT